ACGGCGTCCGCGGGGCGGCCCGCGGCGCGGAGGTCCGCCGCGTGCACGTGCGCTTCGGACCGATGTTTCCGCGACCTTGCACTTGACCTTGCAGTTTTTATCCGAGCCGCGGTCGCGACTCGCGGCGGCCTCGCGGCCGGCGGCGGCGGTCGCGCGCGGCCGGGCGGGGCGCGCGTCAGTCGAGGGGCCCGCGCTTCGGCGGCTTGTCGGCGGGCTGGGGCGCGAAGAGCGCGTGGGCGTCGCGGTAGAGCGACGACTCGTGGTAGGCCTCGACGTCGCGGACCTTGCCGTTGGTCACGGTCGTGCCGATGGCGAAGATGGACGTGACCGTGGACCGCTCGGAGAAGGGCGGGCGGAACTTGCCCTCGGCGTTGAAGATGAGCTCGCGGAAGCTCAGCTTGTTCCCCGGCCGGCCCGCGGCGCCGACGGCCATGGGCCGGTCGTCCTCGGCCTCGACGTCGTCCGCGTCCTCCTCCTCGGCGGCGCAGGACGCGAAGCGCTGGTCCCAGTGGTTCATGTTGCAGGTCCACGTGTCCGGGAGGCTGTCGGGGTCCATGGACATGGGGATGCGGCGCCACTTGCGGCAGCTCCGCTTCTCGCACTGGACCCAGTTCCAGACGGGCTTCGCGCGCTTCGCCGCGGCCGCCGCCGCGCCGCCGCGGCCCCGGGCCGCGCCGGCCTCGGCGGCGCCGCGCGGCGGCGCCGCGGAGGGCCGCGCGGGGCTCGCGGCGCCGGGCGCGCCGCGCGGCGCGGCCGCGGCCGCCGCGGCGCCGGGCTCGTCGTCGCGGCGCGCCGAGTGCTGGTTGCGGCCCCGGGGCTTGCCCGGCGTGCGGCCCGGCGCCTGCTTCGCCGACCCGCGGCGCCGCGCGGCCGCGGGCGCGGGCGCGCGCGGCGCGCGCGGGCCCTCGTCGTCGGGCTCGACCTCCTCGGGCGCCTCGCAGGACCGGCGCGCCGCGTCCCAGTGGTTGAGCTGGCAGAACCAGCGCTCGGGCAGCCGCGACGTGTCGACGGCCGCCGGGATCTTGCGCCACTTCTGGCAGCCGTCGC